CCAAGGGAGTGAGCTCTGGAGAAGTTCTTTAGGGTTGAGAGAGGAAGGAGAAGGTGAGCGTTGTGAGGGAGAAGAGGTGTGAGGGAGATTACACATTTGCTCTCTGCTTGCTGCATCTTGCTCCTCCTGTGGCCCGAGAAGGATTTGAGGGAGGATCTCCAAGGGAAAGGCTTGTCTACATCCGTTACCTCAAGGTTCTTTGCCTTCTCTAGGAGGGAGAAAAACGAGAAGGTTCTCTGCCGTCGCCAGGAGGGTGAAAATAGAGTTTGGCACTCCGCCACGCCGGGTTGGTGAAAGGGAGGTTTGTAAAGGCTTCTCCGCCTTGCCGAGGGGGGCAAAAGAAGAACTATTTTTGGTAGTGAAAATCCCGGAGCGGAGGACACCGGGGAGTGGACACTATAAAAATCCTTGGTGTGTTTTTTCCTTATCGTCATTTACTTTTACTTGCATTTAATTTTTCATAATTATTGCTTGGTGAAATTTGAGGAAGAAAATTTGTTTAAGTTTTTGTTATAAAATTTTAAAAATAACAAAAATATTAGAACTCCTATTTAGGATACTAACCATTATGAGGTTTTGAGGAAGTTTTAGTTCTAGTAGGATGGGGCGATGTAGGCAAAGAATATTTAATATTCTTACCTTTTTTCCTATTAACCTTAATAAATTCTTCCTCCTCTTCATTATAAGAAGAATCCCCAACACCATTAGAGAACAAGGAATCTTCTTTCTCATCTTTAGTTAAATCAACGTTCAAAACATCCTTATCCTGGTTAGGGATAAACTCACCTTCTTCACAACCATCTTTTTCAACACTATCAATATCAAGAACAGAATCATTCACAGGAATAAGAACTGGAGCAGTAATAGCATTAGGCATATTAAGAATTGAATCAATTGAAACATAGATATCATATTCCTTCTCATTTTCCTTAAAAACCACATCATTTTCCTTATTAAGATTATTTAACACAATGTTATTGTTACCCGTCAAAACTGTATCCACTGTGAGAGGATTTCCAGAAGAAATAACGTGAGCATTTGGGACCTCCTTTTCAATAATTTGAATAGCAGCATCAAGTGAAATAGCATCTAGATTCATAGGATTACTAGCATTCTTTACTGTATTATCCACAAGATTTTTTTTCAAATTAGGATGTAATTTAAAACAATCCAAAATAGAGTGACCGTGAATCTTATAATGAGAATAGAAATCTGAAACCTTCTCGAATTCGACTATTTGAAAATAACCAAAAGCATTTGAACCCACCCAAATTTTCTTCGCATACTTCTTAGAAATATCAACTTCAACGAAAAGCCTCGCCACAGAAGGACAGGTTCTCGACGCTGTAGCCTGGTCGGTTTGCAAGGGATGGACAAATAAAGCTCCAAGGGCATGCAAAACTTTAGGGTTAAAAAAATATAAATGTAAATTCAAAAAAGAAATCCAAATATGAACTATCAGAGATTCCTCCTTAACATCAAAAAATTGAGTCCATTTAAGAACACGCATCTGACAGTTATTGATAAAATGCGCTCTTCTAGCAAAAATCCTACTATAATCCAAATCATTAGATAGTTGAATCGCAACATGACGAGCATCCATCAAACTAACTGAGAAAAATCCATATAATTTAAGATTACCGAAAAAATTACAGATCATATCCAGATTTGGTCTACGCAAACCAAACTTACCAACCAACGTGAACTAAAAATGGGATGCAAGTTTAAGCACATCCTCAACTGAAAGAAGAACAGTCGGGACACCGTTAAAAACCGATTGAGTTAAGTTAGGAATTTTATCACCTTCCATCTGGTTTGCAAAAAGCACATCTTTGAACGAATGAGTAGGAGAAGCAGCTACTCCATCACTATCCAAGGAAAAAAAAACCCTATTTAGCCCCTTAATCAGGCTAGCCACCTTCCCCTAAGGGTTGGAGGTCGGAACTCCAGCCATCAAAAGGCCCCAAAAGGGCTAATAGAGACTACGAGGACACAAAATGAGCAAAACTTCATACTCCAGGTAAAAAAAAAAATCATTGGAATGAAGCTGATCGAGCACCGAGAGCAGCGGAGAAGAGGAAACCCTAAATTGCTCTTGACGGCGTTTTAGGGCAACACGAAAAAAAGTTGGAAAATCGAGCTAATTTTAAGTTGGCGAGTAATTGTATAGTTTTTCTTTCCCCTCCTATTCTTCTTTTCTCCATATATGAATGGTTGTTATCTAGTTTTTGTATTTTCCTAATACATCCAAAAGGATGAGTTACTAAGTAGTGGTAAGAATAAAATATAAACCAAGTTTCAATAAATTGTTCCTTTTATTTAAGATGCACTGCACCTGGAACTAAATATATACTTATATGTCTCTATAAGTATTTTTCTAATACCTAGGATGTTCTAGTTGAAGAACTCAGCCACAATAGTCATATAGCCCATCAATAGAACTCACTAGCAGAGAAAATGATTCAACCTAATTAACTAAATTGATGAGTACTTCATGGCATGTGCACTAGAGAACTCATATAGATTCATCCAAACCCTCAAGGATCACTTATTTTAGTAGGATATGACCTTCTGATGTCATTCAACAACATCTCGGGTAACTAATTACGACTATATGTCAAGCCTATGACACTCTAGATGTAAACAATCCTTAGTTTGCTATCAATGTTGCTTGAAGGGGTTCACCACTCATGTTCAAAGGTCCATACACAACCCTTTGGAACTTACTACAATATCTAGGGGACTCGCCCATAAGGACTTGTCTACATACCATGTCCCAAATAAATACTCACCAATGAAGACTCACCCAAGGGAGTCACCTTGGAACAAAGGGCTACTTCGGGAACTACCAGCAAAGATGCATGTCAAATATAGGTTGAAATGAGTAATATTAAGTTGTCATTCTAATTTTTTTCATGTTATCTTTCATATTTCCATCTATGCCCTTAAAATAATGAATAAAGAATCACAATTAGGATCTTTTTGTGTGCTTCAGATTTTTTTGGTATATTTTGAGCTTTTGCTTTCATCTCCATCCAATCTCCGTAGTCACCCGAGCATCTCTTATTTTTCTAATTTTGGCTTATGGAAATTATTTGTTAGTAAAATTGGATGCGTCCGTGGGAAAATTAAGATCCAACAACTTAATTTTGATTATCTGGATTTAGGGTGCCAATTTTGGATCTTACATGAAAACTTGATTGAACCCTAGCACAAAAAGCTTGAGGTTTGGCAATCCATATAAGATCTGAGCCACATTAAAGTCATCTAATTAAATTACTTGAAAAAAAAAGGTTGAGTTAAAGTCGACCTAAAAAAATATTTTATTATTTGATTATTCTTTTCAAAAAAAAATCATATGAAAAAAAGTAAATACTTATAATTTTTCAGAGTTATTTTATCCAATTAGATTAATGTTGTTCATTTCAAGTCAGGTTTATATTACGCTATCATACCCAAAAAAGTTTTCGTGCGTATTGGGTTAGGTTTATATTTGATCAAGTTCAGTTGGGGGCTAATTTTTCTTATGTTTACTAAATTCTTCGGGTTGAGCTGACTGTATTGGTGATTACTCAAAAAAAAATTAACTATTTGATTATTCTTTTCATAAAAAAATACATGAAAAATTAAATGCTTATAATTTATATCTGGTTCAATTAATCTTATTCATTTCAAGTCAGGTTGATACCAAACTATCATAATGTAAAAAATTTTGTGTTTCTTGGGTCAGGTCTAGATTTGACTAAGTTCAGTTGAGTTAAGATTTTGGATCTGTTTAATAAATCTTTCAGGTTGAGCTAATTGTATTCTTGTCTACACATTTTTGTGTCAGACTAGAACGTGATCCATTAACTCAGTTTAAGACTCCTATTATGGACTGAATGCATTGTTCTTTACCGTTGTCTTATAGGATGCCTTACGTGTGCAATTGATATGACAACAATTTACATGCAAATGTATTGGTTGAATGTAGAGTTAATCTAATCACAATTCTTTTATTGTGCTATGATCAATGGTAACTAAAGTAAAAGTAATTAGCATGCAAAGTAAAAGCAACACTGCACTTAACAGCAAGAATGTGGGTGAAATTAGCCAGCTAATATTTGCTTTAGAAGAGAGCTTGTGATAGCTCTTGGGGAGGAGACTGTAATTCGAGATCTGCCATGGCTGCCCATTCAAACACCCTCTTGAAATTGCAATTAGAAAATTAAATCATCATTAGAGCTCACATTGCAGGAGCGGTTCTTCGATCGTAAGCTCAATTAGATCTTCAGAGAATTTAATCTGGTTAAATTCGAAGCGTAAGCATGCAAGCAAATTCTAGACAGCTGTAACTAATGCCTAGTCAGCGTCAGCATCAGGAAAATAGCCTCTAAGGTTTAAATTACAGCGTGAAAAGTGAATTTTTACTATTAATCTTTTTTGTTTGGAGAAGTATCTGATTTAAGAATCCAAATATCAGAAAAAATTAAGGAACTGAAGACAGAGCCAAGGGTAGAAGAGGATGTTGAAGGACAATGGCGCACTCGTTGCTTTCATCTTTCCCCCGTTCTTTTTGTTTTATTTTGCTAGCATTTTAGTTTGAGTGCAACTCAGTCCAACGTCGTATTCAAACACCATTAATAATCCCTTTCAAAAAGACGCTTTCCCCTCTTTCTCCCTCTAACTCTTTTCTCTCTCCCTTTCTCTCTCTAATGCCCCCCACATTCTAAATTTCTGAAACCGACGGCAATGGTTGCCTGAGTTATTACCCAGTCCTTCCTTTGTAGAAAGAGAGGGAAAGCTTCAAGTCATCAGCTTCTTAACCTGCAAGCTGACTCGTTTTCTTAGCAAAAGCTGGCTTTATTTTCACGCAGGCACAAGGGAAGAAGCACAGCAGCAGTTGCAGAGTCTGTAAAATTATTGTTTCTTTTTTCTTTAACAAGGTGCGGATTTGGATTTCTGAAGCTTATTTCTGTGGCTTTCTGTTTTTTTTTTCTTTTGTTCTGTAAAAGGAGCAACGAAACCGAAAATGATGGAGCCAAAGGAAAAGATGGGAAGAGGAAAGATAGAGATCAAGAGGATAGAAAACACTACGAACAGGCAAGTCACCTTCTGTAAGCGTCGTAATGGCCTCCTCAAAAAGGCTTACGAGCTTTCCGTTCTCTGCGATGCTGAAGTCGCCCTTGTCATCTTCTCCAGCCGTGGCCGCCTCTACGAGTATGCCAATAACAGGTTCATTCTTCTCTCTCTATCTCTAATTATCTTTCTTCTGAAGTTAATTTTTTTGTTGCAGAGTACCGATTAATTGAATGATTATTATAGTTAATTGTTTTCAAAGATTTAGTAATTAAACAACCTTACAGTCTTTACTTTTTTCTTCTATGGATTCTGTATTCATTTGGATGATCTATAGAAGTAGAGGGAAGTTTCATAAAAGGGGTCTCTTTGCTGCTTTTTCTTTCCCTCTTATGTTTGGCTCTTCTATGTCAAGAGCAAGAGCTTTACTAGCTTAAAGTCCAATGATAGCATAAAAATGGCTTTTTCCCCTACTTTCCCTTCTTCCATCTGCTGGGTTTTACTTTGCAAAGAAGATCTAAATTAGAAAAACAAAACTACTTCTTTTAGGAGAACATGAAAAACAGTAAAAGGAGTTATTTTTTTTCCTTGTAATGAAATATGCAGCTCTTTCCCTTCTTTCTTCAATCCATTTTCTTTATAAGTTTCTTAGGTATCAAGATCTGAACTTTGAGTGATGGTGCATCTAGATAACAGTGAATGAGAAGGAAACTGAAATAGATTTATTCTACTGAGCTTATATTTGCTACCCTATGGAGTGACTAGTGGTCCACTTAGGATCTCAATTCTATTATAAAAAAGCAGTTTTTTTCATCACTTTCCTTCCCTTTCCCTTCTTCATAGCCAATTTTTTTGTTCGGGGAAAGCGTGGATCTGTTGTAAAAGGAACCGTTTCTCGTTTTTTATGGCAATAGTAAACAGAGATATGGTATTTGGCTGTCTTTCAGGAAAAGAGAGGATGTCCTATCTCTCTTTTCGAATTCAAGACTTTGCCCTTTCACCTCTCTTTCTCTCTCAGAACGTCACCAATCCATCCTGGCAAAGAGCTGTCAAACTCTCATTATCCATTAGCTTTACCAACTCTTCATACGTTATTAGGGTTTCCATTGGAGAAATTAGGGTTTTTGCCAATTTTTTGTAATCCATATATAAAAGAGGGCTCACGAGATTTACTCTGATTCTTCGCATCTGACAGCATGTCTCAAAAAACCTAAAAAAAATTATTTTTATGGTAAAAAAATGTCATTTTTTAAGGTTTTCTCCATGAGGGCAACTTGTTGGAGAGATATAATAATGAGAGCGGTAAGAGAGAAAGAGAGAGGGAAGAGAAAAGAAGATACGAGCCAATGAGTGAGGCTATTCGGTACAAAGGGAGGATTTATATTTGCCTAAATAGTACACATATAAGAGAAAGTAGCAGATTAAAGACAGACTCAAAGCGGGCAAAAAAGTGGACCTGGGGGGCAGCATTAGAAGAGATGAATTATGAGGATTCGCTGTTAGTGTGGAGAAGGTAGATGTGGCCGGGAGAGCAAGACAAGAAGCAAATCAAATAAGCTTGGCATGCTTCAAATTATGTCCCAAATTAAGATCGAGCTACTTAATTATCACATATTTTGATTGAAAAGTGATGTAAAATATGTAGCTCCTCACCAAAAAAATTATTTATTCTCATTTAAATTTCATACAATTATATTTAAAAATATTCTATTTATTTTGTAATGTAAAAAATGCAATAATAATTAATTAAATCATGTATTATATATATATATATATATATATAATCAAAGAGAAAAAATCTTTCTGAACTGCGCATTACCATTAAAAATAGGTCAGCAGCTCAATAAATGCTTTTCTGAGTCCTATGTGATTTATGGTAGTAACTTTATCAAGTATTTCTATGCATTATTATTACAAAATTTATTTAATAAATATATTGAGATAAATTTCTATTCATTATTATATTATTATTATTATTATTATTATTATTATTATTATTATTAAGATACGTTAAATATTCATATATATGGTAATATTTCATATTATAATAATGCGTACTATTTTATAAGATAGGAGACTGAAAAATCAAAGTTGACAAAAAAGTTTAGATACGTAATAATTAAATTAAACTTAGATTTAGCACAAAAATTTAAATATATAGATATTAGTCAACATTTTTATGTTTTAAATTCATATATTTTTAAATTATAGGATGCAAAACTACATAACATTGGATTATCAAATATGATATTACTTGTTAGGGATGAACCAAAGATATTGATATTTGGCTAAACACACAATTAGGCACATTTAACTTTAATCCAAAATTTTAAAAGATGAGTGATGACCAAGGACTTTTATTTTAACATCAACATTTTTTAAGCTATCCAATTTTAATATAATCTCAAAATTTTACATGGCTTAACATGTCGGGGTGCTTGCTTTGCTAAACACACCCATGAGACAACCTAACTTCACCATGCCCATGCAAGAGGAAATTTAGTGTGGAGCCCAATGTTATTATTGTGCCTTGGAATGAATGCATATATTTTTTTAGTTGAAAGTACAAATGTGTTTTATTTTTGGTTGAAAGTACAAATGGCGAGGAACCCCTCACCAATATTACTAGATATGATGTCACATTCTCCAAATTATCACCAAGACAGTGTTCCAAATGATCCCTATTAGGGGATAAAGCTACTTGATTCTCACAACATCTATTAAAAGGATATATGTTTGCCATAGAATTAATCTTACCCTCATTGACCAAAAAATCTTTTGCATTATCTGGAGATGGCATAATTCCATGATCCTCAATATTATTAATGTTATCATTATTATTTTTCTCAATAGGCATAGTATCCACAATAATAGTAGTAGGCAAATTATTTTTAGTAGTTTATGAATCCCTAGTTAAATGAGGATGATTGATGATGCACCTAGTTTTCATGTGTCCCAATGACTTGCAGTGATCACAATAATGAGGAAATTCCTCTATCTGAACATGTTAAATATAACCAAATTTTTCAGGCCCCAACCAAATTGAAGCAGGATATCTGTCTAACTCGACTAAGACCCGAGCGACTGAGGGATGAGACCCAATAGAAGTAACACTATCAATTTTTAGAGGGCGACAAGACAAGGAGCCCAAACCATGTTGTATGCAGGGAGAAAAAATGGGGCCTAAGGTTATGGAAAGAAATCCAAATGTGGATAATGGGGTAATCCACCGTAATGTCAAAAAATTGAGACCATTTGGTTATCTTCATATAACAATTGAAAATAAAGTAGGATCTATGGGAAAAAAAACACTACTGTATATCATTGTTAAGTTTGATCAAAATAAGCTTAGCATTCAGGATGGTGACCGAAAACTTACTGTTTAGTTTAAGGTTGAAGGAAAATTATCGATTCGCATCGAGAGAAGGCATGTGATTGGGAAAAATACCGACCAAAGAAAATATGAAAAGGGCAGCAAGAGCAAGAACCTCTTCATCAGAAATCCATTGAGCCAGCAGCCCCTGATAGCTTGTGGCTTTGAGGTCAGGGAAGGCATCCACAGTGGAACCGCCAGAAAGGGAGTAAAAAAAAGACCGAGAGGAATTTTTACCTCTTAAATAGCTAGTATCTCCCAAACAAACATGATTTACTGCCATCGGAGATGCAAAACCATCAAAGATAGGCCAAAGCCAGAACGAGCGAGGGCATGCTCGCATCTTCGACCGAGACAAGGAGGTCGCCGGATGTGGAGGACACGGTTGGCTAGATCTGAGCAAGGCCGGTGGTAGTAGCAAACTGCGGGCGGCAGCATGGAAGAAAAAGGCTACTAGGGCGAAGCCATAGCAGTGAAGCTCCATCTAACAAAACTTCAAGAAAATTTTATCAAGTGATGCCATTCTTAAGATGGCCTGGACATATAGGTAAATATTGTATTATATTTGTTTAAATAACTTATAAAAAAAATCGGATAAACAAGGAAATAATGCCGTAAATATCCACCATAGTTGATTCAAATATGTATGGTAAAGGAGACAATATGAGAAATTATTTTCCTATAAAAGGTTGTTAAGAAATTTTGATTTAACGGAATAATTTGATAGCATCAACTTGATAAAGCCTATTTCTTTGGCATTAATTTTCTAAAACAAAAATGGCAGTTACGAGAAAGACAACTGCACGCACCAATATATACTGGTAAAGAAGATCATACCAAATAAGTTAATCTCTACATAATTTTAGAATTGCCTTTCATAATTTTATACTTTGTTAAAAATAATCGATTTTTGAAAATTTCTCAATAACTCAACAAAAAAACTAACCAAAAAAACTATATAATCAACATTGAGTGATAGCATAAGCACAGATTGAGGGGAATTATATGAGCATTTGGAGGATTATTTTTGGTGATGGTTGAATAGTTGGGGAAGGAGTGGCTGGTATAGAAGTTCAAGGGCGTGACGGGCGCAACAACTAAGGCAAAAACTCAATTTCAGATAATTTTATACTGGTAAAGAAGTTCAAGGGCACTAGGAGGATTATTTTTGGTGATGGTTGAATTGCATTTCTATTTTGTGTAAAGTATTTCTACGACTTATTGTTATTATATATTGGTCTAAATCATTTGCTTATATGCTTCAAAAACAAGTCTATCTGGTCTTCTCTTATAGGATCAATTTCATCCTCTATTATACTAGTTAGAAAGGCTAAACTGCTTAAATCGTATTATAAAATCATAAATTGATTAGATTTCTATGGCATTTCAGTTTACTTATTTATACTTAATTTATTCTAATTTTTAAAATATGTTAATATTAGTATTTTTATACATATTTGCCACAAACACAAATCAACTGACATTCAGATCTTACAGCAAGATCACCCTCCTAAGTCAAATAGGTTCAGTAGCATATTTATTTAATAATTTATCTTTTAATGATGAATAAGATATTACTAGAAGCAAAGCTAGTGCACAATCATTCATTAAAGGAATACTTACTAACCATATTTATTAAATGGTAGCAATGAAAATTATAAGATACACAGCATGCACAGTGATCGACTTCTGTTATTCTAAGCCATGAACATTTAATGCTCTCAAGTTGATGTATAATCTATTTAATTATGAAGTATTTAATGTTTGGCAATGAAATATGAAG